AAGAAACTATACTATGTGTGTCTCATAGTAGCAACACTAGGTATGACTCCTAGCAACAATACTAGTTGTGTCTCCTAGCAACAATACTAGGTGTTTCTCCTAGCAACAATATTAAGTTTGTCTCCTAGCAAAAATACCAGGTGTCTCTCTCTACTCCTATTAAAAATGCTTTTTTTTCGTCTCTCTGGCTCACAACAATGTATACATCTGCTCTTTTACCAGGGCTTTTATTCAACACTCCATATTCGCGTTATATTCGTGTTTTGCACGTGTCATATACGTGTCACATACGTTGCTGATTTAAAAACGTGGGTACAGGAAAAACATTTAAGAAAAAAGTGACCATCCTGTACTCGTAGAATATCCCATTCGTCACGACGTGACGCAGCAGAGCCACGTCACGTAATCTGACGTTGAAAGAACTTCCCACACAACTTTTAACAAATATCTAAATCTAGCTTTTTGTTGATTGATTATCACATTGAACCGTAGATATATATTTACATAGACACATCAACTTATCGACCATTTTTTAAATATGTTGGTTACTTTTAATATAGGGTTATTCAATAATGCATGATCATGATAAAAGATGTGAAACATGTTAAAGTTTCACACCGAATAACAAAGGGGAAAGTGAGTAGTTTCGGCAAAAACGCAGAGAAACAAATTATCTCTCCAACAGTTATTTCACACATCTGGCATTGAGTCAACATTCTTGTCCAATTTAAATATATAATTTTCAAGTTGGCTAAAGGCCCGTAAGAGCGAAATTTTAATAAGTTTATGTTCAGAAAATTATATTGAATTTTTTAATTTTTTTTTTTTTTTGGCGTCGGGGGGGGGGGGGGGGGGAGGTGATGGGGGATGCTACGACAATTGTCGTTTCATTGATCCAAATAAATAGATTTTTTTGTGTGATAAATTGTACAAAATTATTTCCACCACATAAATAAAACCCTATTTTAAGCTGGACAACATTTAACAATTAAGACCCTTTTAAACACAAGATATCAAGGTAATGTCTTCGGCGTAAAAATCATTAAACCCCTTTAGTAACAATAATGACTTAATTGGTGATCCTTTGGATGTTGTGACCGCTGGGAGGAGTTGGGCACGCTGGAGAATCCGTACAAACTTTCTTTGATATTTTGTCATAGTCATCTTTGAAAAGATAACTTTTAAGACTCAGTATTTCGACTAAGTGATCGGATGTTCAACGGTGTGAAGAGTTGAACAGAGCTGTTGTTGAGTGAAGTGTATGTGTTTAACTGACTTAGTAACACAGTACAAGGACACATGCACGTAGGGACGGTTCCACTTACGTAGAGTAAGGTACACAGAAATAGGTGTTCTCAATATTTGTTATCTATGAGAGCTGCCGTTGAGAATTATTGAAATGATGGTTGGATCTTCTCAGGTGGCTATTGTCACAAATGACCAGGACTCTACGAGCGAAACGATAGTCACAGATACCGGACGAGGTTACAATGTGAGAGGGAGGAGTCGACTTTGGCATTGTAAGTAGGATTTAGTTGAGGAAGAGACAGAAAAGAGCTTAGAGAGCAGTTCACAGGGAACAGTCGAGCGAGATCAGGCAGGAGTCGACAGTTGACTAGTTCAACAAGAGGAATATTTGAAAGGATATTTTGGCTGATTAGAAACCATCAAGCTCAAGTAAGAGACGGGGGACGTTTGCTGTAGAGATAGCTGGAGGCTAGTGAAGACTGCAGAAGAGCTTTTTATTTGAGTAATAAATATATTCTCTTTTATCCTCTGGACTCCTGAAGTTAGTGTTATTTGGATTCATCAAGTCTACGTTGTACTTTTGTCAGTCCCAACGTCTAAGACACCTCCGTAACAGCCATTCTGAGACAGCCATGGGCTTTTGGCTTAACCTTTTTTAGCTAACCTGTGATGCATTATGACAAATCCTGCAGGGGGTGCGGACCGGCTTGGACCGGTTGACATCCTCTTGTACAAGAAAAAAGAGGGTGGGGGAGGTTTACAAACAATGGAGAGTTGTTGAAAAATTGACAATCCTGAATTTTAAAAATGAAGAATGTTGCTAAGCTTGCAGTTGGTGTACAGAACGAGGTAAAAAGGGAAGGGGGGGGCAATCAGATAAGTGGTGTAGGAATAGTGTGCGGATATGGTAGTGCCGCCTTTGCGATAGGTTTATCTTTATATTGAGAGGTGGCATTTTCGTACAACTGTAGAGGGCCCCTTCGTGGCCTGGGACGTCAAGAAGCTTGACCCCCAGCAAGCGGCATTAACCCCCTAGCTGCGCCACTTCTATCAGAGCTGGATGTCATAACAGCAGGCAGATTTGGAGGGGGTGTATGGGGAAGTATGGGGTGGGGGTGGGGTGAGACCATGAGTTTAACGAACAAGGTCGCAACCAACCTAGAGACGCCCATGTCCATACCTTAGAGTTTTTCATGAAGTGAAAAGGGAATTTAAATTACGAGGGAAAGAGGGGCGTTGTAGAAGGAAAACTTGGGAGATGCAGACTTGTGAATAAATGCTTAAAATAACAAGATGACAACTTTTCCCAACAATTTGATTCATCACACTGCTTCTTTAATTTTTAAAAGCAAAGTATTTATAAATAAATAAAAAAATAACAATACCATTCCTAATAGTTTGTTTTCTATTATTTTTCATTAAATCTTGATTTATAAATAATTATAATATCAGAATTAAAAAAACAAAAAAACAAAAAAACAAACAAAAACATTGGTAACCATGTTTGTGAAAATCAACAAATGGTTCCCATTAAACATCCTTAGGTTGATCGAAACGGGAGAACAAACAAACAAAAGTGCTTTTAAGGTCATGACATCAGAGGTAGTATGAGTGTTGTGACATATGTGTTATGTGAACGGGTGTGAGCTGTTTTCAAGTCATGGACGGGTGACGAGTGAGTTTTGGGTGATAAAAGGTTAGACAAAGATTTTGAGCGCAGAGTGAACTAGGAATCTAGAGAGTCAGGGCGTGAGCTAGAGCGAGCGAAAGAGAGGATATTATGTTTTCGATCGATTCATTGTGGGGTTTTTTGACTGAGGAGAGTATTGTTCTGCATATGAAGGGTTCAAAGGAAAAATCAGTGATGTCAGTTTTTCAAAATTTCTATTTAACTCCCTTGTGGCTACATTCCATTTAATAGAATAATATGATGCATAGGTCCAACCGAAGAGGCAGCGTAGTCAATAAATAAATACGTAGACATCTTGATATTTTCATACTTTTTTAGGAATTTTCAAACTTTAAATTCAATTTTCTCAAAACTCTCAAAACCTGACACCACTTGTTTTTTTCTTGAGCCCTTCATATGTATTCATGTCTGAACTTCAGTGTGAACCAAGTTGATGTTTTAGATCCATGAACCTTCAGCGTTGTTTGAATCAAACTAGTCCGTATGACCAAGGAATACATGCCATTAAAATATTATTGTTATCGAAGTACTTGCCAGATTCAAATGACATTTAGACAACGAAATATTTAACACAGCGCCAAAGTGTTGACAAATGCTTCATGCCATACTTAATACATGTCTAGGTTTTAGAAGTTTAGGTTATTTCCCTTCAAATTATCACTACTTTGAGATCGAAATTTGTCTTCCACATTATTGCAAAAAAACAAAAAAAAAAAACAAGAACAACCCAAAAACCGGATCATATTAGAATTCTTACTTTGAGAATCATTGATGCACAACGGCCCGTTGTCGCTACTAAAGATGATCTGGGCAAATTTATGACCCCCACCAAGAGACAAAGTTAAAAAAATAACACATATGATGTTCGTTACAAACAGTGATGAAAAAAGTCACTCTCTAACCTACTTTTGTAGCACGTTTGCGGAATCGATCCACACGCGACTCCTTTTCATCTAATTTATTCCGAATACGATTATCTTAAGGAACTCCGACACCACTTACAAGCGTGACGAGATTTCTTTTTTTGCTGTTGTCGCTTTGGCTAAATATGAACGTACTGATCATTGCACGACATCAACAATTGCATTTGCTACGGATATTTTGACAACGTCCAGTTTCAAACAAAGAATGTAAATAACTTTCAAAAAATGTCTCTATTCCTCTATACGACCTTGAAGAAACCCCAAGCAACTACAATACTCTCTACTCAATAGTGACTTTGATGTCGTAATTTTAGGTGGCTTTTCTTTTTCCTCCACTTTCAAAGTTTTATCTTTTTCAGATCAACAACACGATTTCGAAATGTCTTTGGTCAGTCGAAAGCGTCTTATCTGGTCCTTTTCTTAATTAACGGTAAGACTTTCATTTTATTAGCCGTAAAAAAAAATCTTTAATATTATATTGCCAGAAATTAAGTTTCTGTCACTCTCTCTCTCTCGCTCTCTCTCTGTATATATATATATANTATATATATATTATTTACATTATATATGTATATATGTGTGTGTCATTGTCCACTCCTCGCATGCAAAAGGTACCAAAGCTTCAACTTGCGTAGTAGCCTTGACTTAAGCTTATTTTTTGTTTAAAGTGAAGGACAAGTGCTCAATTCGCCAGCCTCTCTCCCTCTCTCTCTCGCCCTATCCTCGTTTAATGTTTCTTGTCTCACACTTTGCCTTCCTCCTCACAAGAGTTGTCAAAATTGTCCTTGTGTCAATGTCATACAGCTTACGGGACTCCGTCTCCGTGTTTGATTTCAGAGTTTGCCTTCTCTTTTTCTTTTTCTAAAGTTATTAAACAAATTGTTCTATTCAATAAATAGTTTACAGTATGTAACCATAGCTTGAAATAAAATAGTACAATTTGACGCAATTAGTTTTTAATGAATCTCTTTTTTTTTAATGAAAGAAACTCTTTCAAGCCATTGATGAACTCCGACTTTTTCGTGAACTCTACGACACGCCTACAATCCCCCCTACGACACGAATTGTATGTTGGACATCGTTTAGTGCAACAGCCAGTGCTGTCAGGGTAGGGTTAAGTTTAGGGTTATGTTTCAGCCTTTCAACGTCGTAATGGATCCGTACAAAACCTATGTTCCATTGACGTGTTCTTAGTATGAAGGTATTTATCACCGTGCATGTGACATGGGTTCCGCCGTCTTTAACAAACGACACAACGTTAAAACACGAAGGTTTAATGCGTGCGTGTGTTCGTATTCAAACTAAGTTTAATAACATCTCCGAATAAAATAAGAGTATTATTGCACGAACAGTATTTCATTTTTGGTCAAACTATCGTGCTTCACAATAACTTATTTCAACAACAAAAAATAATAATAATAATTGTCAGTGTTATTGTGTGCAGATAAGAGCCACTGATTTCAGTTTTGAAACAATATCTACACGTTTTGAAAGGAATTCAAAATATTCCATAGGTAAAATGGTTTCTAATTTTATGATTAACTTAACACCTCGATACTCTGAAAACTAATTGCCATATATTTGAGAAGGGAACGTGTCCGCTAAATTCACCAATGTATCTGGTTCCTAACATATTTTTTTAAAGAAAACAAAACATTTTTTTAATTTTTTTTTTCATCAGAACTGATGGGTGTCCAAAATTTTATAAAAAATGCCCTTCTCAAAGATACATTTTAATTTAATTTTGTTTCACTCCTTTGTAAAAGGAGGGATAGAACAATACTTATTAATATTTGTTTAAAGATGATCTGTTCCTCCTTTCTTTTCCATTTTCCAGAATTAAAAAAAGTAAATTGTACACACGAGAGTGGCATGCGAAGGAACAAACCTTGGCCTAAATAACGTAGAGATTTTTAAAAAAAAAGGATTTTTAAAAAAGGCATATTACACACATACGTTTTTTTTTTTTGTTTTTTTTTTTTTTTTTTTTTTTTATTTTTGGTTAACCGTATTGGTCTTGAGCCCAAACAAAGCACTAACTAGTGGGAGATTTATTTAACAGCATCCAGCTCTCTCAGATTTATTCAGAAATTCAATCTACTATTGTCGAAAAAAAAACGTATTTATTTTTTAAAATAATAATTGAAAGACACCAAAAGATTTTTAAAAAGAAAAAAGATACAAAGGCAAAAGCCAAATATCTAAATCAAAATGTTGAAAATATTCCAATTGTTGGCAATCGTAGCGATGGTGCAGTATTTGGTAATTCAAGCCGATGGAAGACCACGACACTACTTGGAGGGTGAGAAATTATTATTATTATTTTTTATTTGTCTCAATTTTTTTTCTTCAGTTTTTTGATTAAAGGTCATTGGCATCTCTGCAAATTTTATCCTCGTTGTGGCAACATTTAGCCTCATTATGGCAAACTTCATCCTCGTTGTGGCAACATTTAGCCTCATTGTGGCAAACTTCATCCTCGTTGTGGCAACATTTAGCCTCATTGTGGCAAACCATCCTCGTTGTGGCAACATTTAGCCTCTCTGTGGAGACATTCAGCCTTGTTGTGGCAACATTGTGGTCGATATTGGATGAAAACACCAAACTGTTGTGTAGAAATTCAAAGAAATGAACGATGGAACTAGTCTAGCGTGAAGAGAAATGCAAATAATGTCCATCCTCTTTGCCTAACGTTCACCTTTTCTCCCGCCATATTGTGGTCTGGTCACGTGGTTTCGCCATTCCCTCAATCCTGGCTGGCACCAACAGTAGTTTGTCGCGATGGCTTCGGTTATAAACCAGCTAGACAATCATTCCACTGTTCACTCGTTTTTGAAAAGTTGTTGTTTCTTCAAGGATTTTAAAAATTTTACTTTATAACAAAAATCCCCAAATAGTTGGATTTACGTTTAAGTTGGATTTTCGTTTAAGTTGGATTTAAGTTTAAGTTGGATTTAAGTTGGATTTAAGTTTAAGTTGGATTTAAGTTTAAGTTGGATTTAAGTTTAAGTTGGATTTACGTTTAAGTTGGATTTAAGTTTAAGTTGGATTTACGTTTAAGTTGGATTTAAGTTTAAGTTGGATTTACGTTTAAGTTGGATTTAAGTTTAAGTTGGATTTACGTTTAAGTTGGATTTAAGTTTAAGTTGGATTTAAGTTTAAGTTGGATTTAAGTTTAAGTTGGATTTAAGTTTAAGTTGGATTTAAGTTGGACTTAGTTTGATTTGTAAAAATACATTTTGAAAAACATATTTTTGGTATTAATTTTTTTTTTAAAATATATATATTTAATGACCTCATTTGATATATATTTATTCTTGAGGAAAGGTCATTATTTATATTTTTTTTTCAGTTAGTTCAAAGGTCCAGCTCAACCAAGAAATATTTAACAGTGCAGTTGAAGTGGATTTATTCAATGAAGATGGTTAGTAACATAAATACGTGACTCGCTGGGTGTGTTGTGTTACAGGGAGGGGCAGAGAAAGAGAGAGAGAATGCAAGAGAATTGAAATAATAATGAGATAGAAGAGAGGAATACAGAGGAGTGAAAATCAAAACTTATATAAATAAACAAGATTAATGGGGAAAAGCTTAACACCAAAGACAAGAGGCAGACAAATGAAGGGAGACCATGGGAAACAGATGAATGAAGGAAGGCAACGTACAAAAAGATAAATTAATTTAAAGAAGAGTGATTAAAAAGCGAATGCGATGAGCTGATGTGTTATTCTGTTTGTTGTTGTTCTTCTTCTTTATATTAATTGCCCACTTTCAACTTATTGATCATTCTGGCTCCTATACATGTAGAGGGGGTTTGGAATGTTTATGTGTGTCTGGCGTTGACGAGGATACTTCACGGGCTGCAAGGGCCAATGAGTGATGGTATCATGAACTGTGGGTTGGAAGGGTCAACATGACATGCAGTGAAACAAAAATAATCGTTCATGTCTTTATTCTTAAAACGTGTAGTATTTCTTAAAAACAACAACTTATTTTCTGATTTCTGACACCGTAAAAATGGTATTGGATATGTTTTATGTATATTTTAAATATAAATAGACGGCTACAACGCTTTATGGAAATTATCTTGAATTTTTCCAGCATGTTCTTGCAACACAATGTGGTTTAATTTTAACTTTTTTTTTTTTTTCCTTAACACAGATAACAGGACAGGAGAGATAAAAGACAACATGATTCCATTTTTATACAGACGTAAGTGGGCGTAAGTGATTATAAGAGAATGTCTGAGAAGTAAGTGAATGTGCTTAAGAGAATATAAGTCAATGTCGTTGACTTTAGGTGAACGTAAGTAAACGTAAGGTAACGTTTGTGAACATAAGTGAATATAAGGGAATATAAGTAAACGTAATTGAAGGTAGCTAGAATAATCAATAAATTGATCGTGGGCGCTAAGAAATGTAGAAAAAAAATAAATAAAAAGGTATGTAAACGTAAGTGAACAAAGGTAAATGTAGGTGAATGTAATTGAATTTTAGTGAACATAAGTGAATGTATGTGAACCGAAGTGCCAGTAGCGATAAAAGCCTCAGAAACACAGACATATAACCTTAAGGTTTTGTAGAGGCACACAACACAAAGGGTGTGTAGAGGCACACAACACAAAGGGTGTGTAGAGGCACACAACACAAAGGGTGTGTAGAGGCACACAACACAAAGGGTGTGTAGAGGCACACAACACAAAGGGTGTGTAGAGGCACACAACACAAAGGGTGTGTAGAGACACACAACACAAAGGGTGTGTAGAGGCACACAACACAAGGGTTTGTAGAGGCACACAACACAAAGGGTGTGTAGAGGCACACAACACAAAGGGTGTGTAGAGGCACACAACACAAAGGGTGTGTAGAGGCACACAACACAAAGGGTGTGTAGAGGCACACAACACAAGGGTGTGTAGAAGCACGTAACACAAAGGTGTGTGTAGAGGCACACACCACTTAGTGTGTGTAGAGGAGTCTTGTCTTGAAGTGACCACTGGCATGTCTTGGCTATTTTATCTACAATGGTAACTCATCTGATAGTCAAAGACCAGGCTGGTTTGTAACCATCCCTGGTGTCTCAAGTCGTGATGAACTCACCCACATCTCCATGTCTCTACTCAATGGCAAGTAAGGTTTCGTGACCAGTTCTATTTTGAGACATCACAGGTAGATTAAATCTCATCATTAGAAAATGTCGGTGAATCTTGAACTGTCAATAAACGTATTTGTTGTTTAGTTTTATCACATTTTTTAAGTTTTATTTTTTTATTTTTATCGATGTGAGTGTTCATTCACAAAGTTTCAATGACAAATGTAGGTACAAATATTTTTTAAAGAGTAGTTGAAGGCGGTCTGATGTCCATTTGCGTTATCTCTCCATAATAATAATAAATTTACCTGTTACTTAATCTTTCCTTTAAAAGAAGAAGAGTGGCTAGTTTATTTCAGAGAGGCTTAAAGTTTGAATGTGGGGAAGGGGGCACGACCACAAATTGGAACGAAGGCGTTTATTTAAAAGATATTTACATAATTTAATCTTAATTTTGATCATTTGAGGTCGTTAGTCATAAGTGGTGAGGTATGGTGTGTCCAAAATGGTGTGGTATGGTGTGTCCAAAGTGGTGAGGTATGGTGTGTCCAAAGTGGTGAGGTATGGTGTGTCCAAAGTGGTGAGGTATGGTGTGTCCAAAGTGGTGAGGTATGGTGTGTCCAAAGTGGTGAGGTATGGTGTGCTATAATTGGGGAGATGTCTGTCATTATGAAGGATGCTGGGAAATGTGTTTTGATAGATGCGTTCCAGATAATGTTTCGGTTTCAAAGGAAGCATTTCGAACCATAGGAAATGCCTGGAGGCGAAGAACGGGGTTGTGCGGGAAAGGTTTGATGGGACGTCACGTGTTGTTTGTGTTCCGTCGGGAACTCAGCGAGGCATACCTTGCAACTCATTAGTCAGGAGATGGAAGCGCAACGAAGTGGCTCTGCTTTGGCACGTACCTCGCTGCTACAACTCATTAGTCAGGAGATGGACGCGCAAAGACGTGGCTCTGCTTTGGCACGTACCTCGCTGCTACAACTCATTAGTCAGGAGATGGACGCGCAACGACGTGGCTCTGCTTTGGCACGTACCTCGCTGCTACAACTCATTAGTCAGGAGATGGACGGGCAACGATGTGGCTCTGCTTTGGCACGTACCTCGCTGCTACAACTCATTAGTCAGGAGATGGACGCGCAACGACGTGGCTCTGCTTTGGCACGTACCTCGCTGCTACAACTCAGTAGTCAGGAGATGGACTCGCATTGATTTGGCTCTGCCGGGGCACGGAACTCGCTGCTACAACTCATTAGTCAGGAGATGGACGCGCAACGACGTGGCTCTGCTTTAGCACGTACCTCGCTGCTACAACTCATTAGTCAGGAGATGGACGACTCTGCTTTGGCACGTACCTCGCTGCTACAACTCATTAGTCAGGAGATGGACGCGCAACGACGTGGCTCTGCTTTGGCACGTACCTCGCTGCTACAACTCATTAGTCAGGAGATGGACGCGCAACGATGTGGCTCTGCTTTGGCACGTACCTCGCTGCTACAACTCATTAGTCAGGAGATGGACGCGCAACGACGTGGCTTTGCTTTGGCACGTACCTCGCTGCTACAACTCAGTAGTCAGGAGATGGACTCACATTGATGTGGCTCTGCCGGGGCACGGAACTCGCTGCTACAACTCATTAGTCAGGAGATGGACGCTCAACGACGTGGCTCTGCTTTAGCACGTACCTCGCTGCTACAACTCATTAGTCAGGAGATGGACGCGCAACGACGTGGCTCTGCTTTGGCACGTACCTCGCTGCTACAACTCATTAGTCAGGAGATGGACGCGCAACGACATGGCTCTGCCGGGGCACGTACCTCGCTGCTACAACTCATTAGTTAGGAGATGGACGCGCAACGACGTGGCTCTGCTTTGGCACGTACCTCGCTGCTACAACTCATTAGTCAGGAGATGGACGCGCAACGACGTGGCTCTGCTTTGGCACGTACCTCGCTGCTACAACTCATTAGTCAGGAGATGGACGCGCAACGACGTGGCTCTGCTTTGGCACGTACCTCGCTGCTACAACTCATTAGTCAGGAGATGGACGCGCAACGACGTGGCTCTGCTTTGGCACGTACCTCGCTGCTACAACTCATTAGTCAGGAGATGGACGCGCAACGACGTGGCTCTGCTTTGGCACGTACCTCGCTGCTACAACTCATTAGTCAGGAGATGGACGCGCAACGACGTGGCTCTGCTTTGGCACGTACCTCGCTGCTACAACTCATTAGTCAGGAGATGGACGCGCAACGACGTGGCTCTGCTTTGGCACGTACCTCGCTGCTACAACTCATTAGTCAGGAGATGGACGCGCAACGACGTGGCTCTGCTTTGGCACGTACCTCGCTGCTACAACTCATTAGTCAGGAGATGGACGCGCAACGACGTGGCTCTGCTTTGGCACGTACCTCGCTGCTACAACTCATTAGTTAGGAGATGGACGCGCAACGACGTGGCTCTGCTTTGGCACGTACCTCGCTGCTACAACTCATTAGTTAGGAGATTGACGCGCAACGACGTGGCTCTGCTTTGGCACGTACCTCGCTGCTACAACTCATTAGTCAGGAGATGGACGCGCAACGACGTGGCTCTGCTTTGGCACGTACCTCACTGCTACAACTCAGTAGTCAGGAGATGGACTCGCATTGATGTGGCTCTGCCGGGGCACCTACCTCGCTGCTACAACTCATTAGTTAGGAGATGGACGCGCAACGACGTGGCTCTGCCGGGGCACGGAACTCGCTGCTACAACTCATTAGTCAGGAGATGGACGCGCAACGACGTGGCTCTGCTTTGGCACGTACCTCGCTGCTACAACTCATTAGTCAGGAGATGGATGCGCAACGATTTGGCTCTGCCTTTGCACGTACCTCGCTGCTACAACTCATTAGTCAGGAGATGGACGGGCAACGATGTGGCTCTGCCGGGGCACGTACTTCGCTGCTCCTGTTGGCCCTTTCAGATTTTTGTCCGCTCTTACAGAAAGGTTTGGGCTCCTGGTGATGATTTTCCCCAGACTGCTCTCAAAGGTTCTCATGTTGCCTAATTGACTCCCAGTGAGAGTAAAAATACTATCAAGGCGAAGCCTCTGCTGGTAGTGATTAATGGAGTTGTTCATGACTGAGCACTCGAACTAAGAAATAATACATAATGGTGGAGTTTTAATCATCGTCATCTGCCTGCAACGCCTGCTTCCACAAAGGGAGCAAAATACATGACAAATCTACCCTCTGTGTCAGATTCTGAAAGTCTTTCTAGTACCAATGGTGCTAGAAAGTATGGTCGCCCTTGAAACTTTATATTGGTTTTAAGAACTTTAGGCAGTCAAGTATCTAAATGGGTACTGGTTTTTTGTGTATGAAATTTTACTAAGGCAGAGTCAGACACTGTACTACATCGTCAAATTGCACTGATTTGATGATAACATCCTTAATTTTCTGGATCTAATATTTTATTTTAATTTATCTCCAAAAGCGGTTACTCCCAAGAATAACACCGACGCTCAATCTACGTCCTCCATATTTAACGCCTGCCTTCAAGCATGTTCCCTGCACACTCACAGGTACGTGGTTCAAGTTTTTCACTTTATCTTAAATGGATTTAACGCTTAAGTGTGTTTCTTGACACATCTGCCCTGTTAAGTTTTCCAAATAGGACATCATGCTGCTATTTTATCTCTCTCTACAATTTTCCTCTTGTTTGTCCTGCCATCGGTCTAGTGTCATGGAACTGCACGGCTGTCATCGGGAATGTCTGTTCGACCCGTTCAAGTATCCGGTGCTGCCCGAAGGAAATGACCCCGAAAACATACCCGTGCCGATGCCATTAGAAAATGGCACGTTGTTGACGAGTCCAGGTGATAGTGAATTCGGACAGGTCGTACCCGGAAACGAAGTCGGACAGAATTTTCTGGAAGGAAACAGATATTTGGATGTACCGACAGGCGAAGGCGGTTCTCAGTTTTTGGAATATGTGCCCGAGGAAGTACAAGAAGGGTGTTGTGCGTGGGGTCCCACACTCGACGATTGGGGACCACCGAGTTGATGTAACCAATCATGAGGGGAAATAAAAAGTTAATGAATTACTTCAAACAGGTTTTTTTACATCATTATGATAGATAACTACATTCGTAGAGATCAATGCATTCTTGTATATCACTACATTCTTATACATAACTTCATTCTGATAGATCACTACATTATTATTTGACCACGTGCCTACATATTGAAATAATGAATCCTTACATTGCTAACCCAAACTTCATCTTGCCCCACCCCTCCCCCAAGCCCTTTTTATAATTTAAAGCTAATGTTTAGGTTTTTTTGTGTGGATGGTTTAGAAATCTTTAATGTAGTCATCGTAGGATTTTTTTCTCTTTCTAAAAATGTTTAAATAAGTTAAGTGGGAAAATCTTACATGACGATTGTCGATAAAAGCTGCGTAGAGGAAAACAAATGGTTTGTCGTAAGCCCTTTGAGTACACCTTGACTTGTCCAAAGACAGAACATCTTTCTTGGTTTGTGGTCTGCAAGTAATGCCTGTTATCTTTGTATTATTTTTTCAACATCATGTTTCTACTGTTGTGAATTCTATTATCGCAATGAAAATGAAGCTGTTTATACTGCTTACCATCAATGGTTTATTCAGTTTCAAAGATTTAAAAAAAAAATATAAATAATATAAATAGTACTAATTCAATACCTTTATTTAGGCGAACAATTTTTATTGTAATTTATCAAGTTATTAATTAATTTATTTATTTATTGCTAGCACCCAGTTTGCGAATAGTGAAGACACTAAATATTCTTTATTACAATTATATTCTTAATAGCTTTCTCCCCAGTCTTATTTTCTTTCGTCCCGAACAAATTTTTCTTTAAGTATAACTGCACGCCTTACATTTTGAGTTGTCCAGGTCTGATTTTTTGGTACCTTACGATGAAAACTAACATCATGTCTTGGATTATAAATCAATTTATTGAGTATTTACAAGCAATTTGTCTACAAGCATTGCGTACAATATGGCGTATTCACGTGGTTAGCTCCGCGAGTCTCGTGCAAGGTCACACATGGACAGTTCGATGTGAGCTCGTGGGGACAACAAGATATGTCATTGGCAAGTTCAACAATTACATTCAGGCATTTTATGTTGATAAGTAACATTTCAACATACCGTGGTTTCGAATGTTATATGGAATTTTAACAATTACAAGTCATATACAATATTAACAATTTATAAATAAAGCATTTACCATTTAGAGATTAGTTACACAAATGTAACATTTTAAATTAGGACATGGCATACACTACTTTAAACACTAAGAGTATATAGCTTTGAGTTGTTTTTTTAAACAGAAATTTAGCAATTATACATACGACATTCAGATTAATTTTTTTTTAAAAATTAACGTTTACATTCGGGCACTACATTTAAGAATTTAACTAACAAAAGTAGCATGAAAAGCACGTAGGTGAACAATTATACAAACATATTTATTACAGCTGACACATGACAAAGTAGGCATCCTTATGTAAGTAATCAAGCATCAGGCAAGAAGCAAGCGTTGTTGATAGTCTAATATATTTACATTGTTATTTCAGGCAATGACTTAGTTTTAACACAAACTTTTTTTGTACTTTTTAACTTCTGTTATTATTTTACGAAAATCAAAAATTTATGGTAATAAAAAAGAAAAGGACACGATTTTTTTTTTAAATTAAGCAAAAAGTAAAATAAAACAAGCAGTTTTTATTATTAGAGAAAAATTAAAGTTTTTACGTGTAATTCTTTCATCTCAACATACTTCATTCCCTAATTACAAGACAATATGCATTGGTTCCGCCTTTTCTCTAAAATTACTATTAATATCATTGTGGCAATCCTCTCACATGCAAAAAAAATGGATACAATTACCCCCTTACACAATATAATAAAATATGTACATATTTAACAAATCAGTACACGCCATGCAGGTGAGCAGCTCATCTATATCGACAGCGGGTATTAGGGGCAGTAACCCATCATTTGCATCGGCAGTGGGTCTTGGGGCAGTAACCCATGTTGCAGTTCTCCAGGCACCAATCCTCTATCCCGTCCAGCTTGGCCCACTTCCCCACGCCCACGCACGCCACGAAATCGCCCCGAGAGTCAACGCTGTAGGATGCCCTTTCGGCCTGTTTAACAAAACCCGACCCAGCGTTCTGAGATAATCCGTCATGGTCACTTTGAGACAATCTTGGACTGCCCTCAGGTTTGATGAAATTTCCTTCCTCCGAGCCAGCGGGAAAACTGTAAGTTCCCTTTGATGACAATTCATCCCCTCCCACGTTTCCAATCTCATCTTCCTTTGTGTAAGCTGAATCTTGAAAATCGTTCACGTTACCGCGTTTGGCTAGAGATCTGAACGCTTGAGATGTCTTAGCCCCGTCGTAAGCTTTCGATTTATAGGCATCCCTATTGAAATTACCGTCAGCACGTTTTGACAAATGGTGGAAAACGTGTCCTTTCTTGTAATAACCCAATTTCGCAGCATTGGGCTTTTCTCCTGAGTTCTCTGACCCCGACCATCCGTAAGCTTTCTCATTGCCCTTTCCTTCTCTGACGTCTCCGTGTTTCCAACCGTCAACAGATGGGTTGTAGAGTTTCCCTCCATTATTTTCGGATCCTTTGCTGTTACCAAAAACAACATTTTTGTTTGAGCGGTAGCCGCTGTCTTTATGCTCGTACTCTGTGTAGCCATCGTAGTCACTGTCATCTAGCTCTTTAGGGGAACCTTTACCACCATCGGTCTTAGTACCGTCAAAGCCCTTGCCATTATCTCCTGCGTCGTCTTCAGAACCTTTACCAGATCCAAAGTCTTTTCCTCCGTCTCCCCTAATGTCATCGAAATCTTTACCACCAAATCCTTTACCAGCACCAGAATATTTCCCATCTTTTCCTTCACTTTCATCGTAATCTTTACCACCAAATCCTTTACCAACGCCAGAATATTTCCCACCTTTTCCTTCACTTTCATCGTAATCTTTACCACCAAATCCTTTACCAACGCCGAAATATTTCCCACCTTTTCCTTCACTTTCATCGTAATCTTTACCACCAAATCCTTTACCAACGCCAGAATATTTCCCACCTTTTCCTTCACTTTCATCGTAATCTTTACCACCAAATCCTTTACCAGCGCCAGAATATTTCCCACCTTTTCCTTCACTTTCATCGTAATCTTTACCACCAAATCCTTTACCAGCGCCGAAATATTTCCCATCTTTTCCTTCACTTTCGTCGTAATCTTTATTGTTGAAGCCTTTACCACCGCCAAATTTTGTATCGCTATAAACTTGATCAACACCATCTTTACCGCTGTAATCTTTGACATCATCTAAATCTTTTTCGCTCGTTCCTTCTTTCTCTTCTTCGTAATCTACACTTCCGTATCCGTCATCTGAATTTTTGGAAGCGAATCCCTTTCCGTTACTTTTGCCCTCAAAACCTCCATAACCTTTGCCCTCAAAACCTCCATAACCTTTGCCCTCAAAACCTCCATAACCTTTGCCCTCAAAACCTCCATAACCTTTGCCCCCAAATCCTTCATAGCCGTCCTCATATTCCTCATCATACGCATCGTATTTCCCACCGTCCTTATCGTCTGATCCGTGTCCTGATCCACCAGTGGTCTTGTGCCAGGTCTTGTGACTGTAGGACTTGCCACTCAACCCAGGGGCTTCACCGTAATCATACTCTGCCTCGGCTTCGTATTCTTCAGAGGAAGAGCTTTGGGCTTCATCGCAATCTTTTCCCCCCTTATCCGCTTCGCCTGCACCGCCTTTGAATTCCCCAGTGTAGCTCGCCACATTTTTTTCCCCACCGGATTCTGAGTTTTTACCATTATCATCACTGGAGTATAGCTCCTTACCGCCTTTGAAGCTTTTCGTGCTCTCCTCTTTCAAATCGAGTCCCTCTTTATCATCCGCCTTTCCTTTGCCGCTGCCAGAGTCATAACCTGCACCGTAACTATTTTTCGCGTCTTGTCCCTTTGAAAATCCTCCGCCACCAGAAGAGCCATAATAACCGGCCTTGTAGCCGTCATCAGGATCATATACGTCGGCCGATCCTTCCTTGGAACTGTAGCCTTCGTCGCCACCATAGTTACTGCCCTTGCTGTTGATAGCCTCGTTTCCCTTGCTTGTATCTGCCACGGACTGATCTACCTTTCCGTCAATGGCGTAAAGCTCTCCATCGGGGTAATAGTCGCCACTGTACGCCTCCTCATTTTTTTTACCCCCTAGTCCGCCATAGTCGTAATTATTTTTTTCAGAATACACATAATCGTGTTCATCGGAATCGCTGCTCTCGCCATCGAGGCTTTTGTGCTTGACGGATCCGTCATAAATCCCAAGGTCCAATCCGATATTTTTGGGGTGGGACTTGTAAGAAGCGTCATCATCAGTCTTAGCGTCGTCATCGCAGTCTTCTTGCTCGCCTGAGAGCTTCCCACTGCCAGATTCCGCTTCAAAGTCCAACAATCCGTTATCTTTTAAGCCACTTTTTTCAAAAGAAATACCACCAAAGTCTTGATAGTCTTTTCCTGTTCCCACACCTGAATCGGTTGATTCTGTTTTGCCAAGTGATTTCTCGTCATTTTTGCTTCCCCCAGTGCCCCCAAAACCACTGTCGTGACAATCGTCTTCCTCGTTGAGATCATCACTATTTACATAATTTTCAGCACTAAGTTTAAGCGAGGCGTCTATAGCGCTACTGCCTGCCTTCGAGCCTGATGAGTCTGGAGCGTCCACCTCACCGACATTGTTCTTTGCTACATTATCCTTAATATCTTTACCACCCACCTTCTCAAACTCATTTAAGTCTCTCGCAGTTTTACCACTGGCCGCATCGACCGCTTTCAGCGATTCGGATGCATCCGATACGATTTTTAAGGTGGCTTTACCATTTTCGTCATTGGCACTAAAGCCTGACGACCTGATCAGCCTTGAGTACTTATAAGCCCCGTAGCTTTTCCCGTTCTGTTGCTCCTCGGTTTCAATGCTGGCTGTTGATTTAGAATCCACAAGTTTCTTGGCTTCTGATCTCTTCGAAAACTCTGTATCAGATTCAGCATTTGTATCCGACGACTTTCCAGTTTCAAAACCAGACTCGCTTCCTTGACTTGCCCCCTCTTTTGAACTCAACTTACTACCCTCTCCTGAATCCTTTTCATCGTAGTCCTCCTCCTCCTTTCCTTCTTTCAATCCGAAGGCTTTGTGTTTGCTCGATCCCTCATCTCCATAACCTTTTTCATCGCTAAGGCCATCGCCACCGTGGTAACAAAGCTCATCGTCGTCCTCGCAGTCATCTTGTTTCCAGTCGCTCCCCTTTTCACCGCTTTCATCATGCTGGCCGGAACCATAACCACCTTGATCTTTATAACCGCTGCTTCCTTTTGACCCGTATTTTTTGCCGTTGTCACTTGCGACACTTTCTTCCTTATCGTCCCCGTCAAAGTCCTTCACTTTGTGAAATGTCTCTTCGCCGTAGCCTTCGTCAGATTCTCCTCCTTTGGCTCCGTACGACTCTCCGTAACAGTCTCCTTTGGCAATCGATTCCTTGTCGTGATATTTTCCACTCTCATCGTTATACTGATCAGAACCAGACCCTTTACTTCCATAGTCACCATCGCTCTCATCGTATTCGTCCTTACTATCGCACCCTTTGGTATCGCCTTTGTCACTGTCGCCGTAGCCGCTGCTTGAGCCATGCTCATTTGCAAAATATTTACCACTGTAATCGCCTGATTCTTCGGACTCACTTCCCTTAGCCCCATAACCTTTTCCATTGTTGAACTTATCGCCTTTGTCACTGTCGCCGTAGCCGCTGCTTGAGCCATGCTCATTTGCAAAATATTGACCACTGTAATCGCCTGATTCTTCGGACTCACTTCCCTTAGCCCCATAACCTTTTCCATTGTTGAGCTCTCTTTCCGTGGATGCAAATCCTACTTCGGAATATTCTCCACTGTCGTCACAGTCCTCCTTGGCCCCAAATCCCCTGTAATAGCCGGCAGACGAGTCGTCGTCGTTGTCAGAGTCTTGACCCTTGTCGTAACTGTGCCCGCTTTCATCCTGGTCGTCCCCAGACTGATCCCGTTTACTTCCGTAATATTTAGACTTCGAGCCCTTGCTCTTATAATTTGCGTCGCTCATCTTATCGTATTTTCCGAAATCTTCATCTTCGTTGTCGTCATAATATTGCATGGAGCCTTGAACATTGGACTCAAAATCTTCCCATTTGTTGTCGTAATCATCACCGGCTTCCATGCCATATTTTTTTCCTTTAAAGATATCTCCCTTCGAGCCAAACCCAACTCCTTTATATTCATAACCATCATATTTGGATCCGAATTCATCCCATTTCGATTCATATTCATCTCCTTTTAAACTGTATTCAGCTCCTATTGATCCATGTTCTACTCCTTTTGATCCATATTCAACTCCCTTTGATTCGCATTCATCTCTTTTTGATCCACATTTATCTCCCTTTGATCCATATTCATCTCCCTCTGAACCAAATTCATCCTCTTTTGACACATATTCATCTCCTTTTGATCCAAATTCATAATCATTTGATTCATATTGATTTCCTTTTGATCCATATTCACCACCTTTTGATCCATATTCATCTCCCTTTGATTCATGTTCATTTCCCTTTGATTCATATTCATTTCTCTTTGATACAAATTCATCTCCTTTTGAATCATATTCATCTCCTTTTGATCCATATTCATCTCCTTTTGATTCATATTCCTCACCAATTGATCCATATTCACCTCCTTTTGATCCACATTCATCTCCCTTCGATCCATATTCCTCTCCTTTAAATCCAAATACATCTCCTTTAGATCCATTTTCATCACTTTTTGGTCCATATTTTTCTTTCTTTGATTCATATTCATCTCCCTTTGCTCCAAAGTCATCTCCCTTTGATACATATTTTTCCTCTTCATTTGATTGATATCCATGATCAACTTTCGAACCTAATTCAATACTTTTCAAACCAGATTCTTTAAACTTTTCAATAAGAGAACGACCATGTCTGCTCAACTTAAAACTTGAACCAGAGTTCTTTGTTTGGTGGCCTTCATCATGTCCATGTTCTTCTTCATGACCATGTGCTTCTTCATGACCATGTACTTCTTCATGACCATGTTCTTCTTCATGTCCATGTTCTTCTTCATGTCCATGTTCTTCTTCATGACCATGTTCTTCTTCATGTTTATGTTGTTCTTCATCACCATGTTCTTCTCCATGTCCATGTTCTTCTTCATGGCCATGTTTTTCTTCATGACTTATATCTTCATGATCATGTTCTTCTTCATGTCCATGTTCTTCTTCTTGTCCATGCCCCTCTTCATGACCATGTTCTTCTTCATGTCCATGTTCTTCTTCATCACCATGTTCTTCTTCATGTCCATGTTCTTCTTCATGTCCATGTTCTTCTTCATCTCCATGTTCTTCATGTCCATGTTCTTCTTCATGACCATGTTCTTCTTCATGACCATGTTCTTCTTCATGACCATGTTCTTCTTCATCGCCTATATCTTCATGATCATGTTCTTCTTCATGTCCATGTTCTTCTTCATGTCCATGCTCTTCTTCATGTCCATGTTCTTCTTCATGTCCATGCTCTTCTTCATGTCCATGTTCTTTTTCATCACCTTGTTCTTCTTCATGACCATGTTCTTCTTCATGTCCATGTTCTTCTTCATGTCCATGTTCTTCTTCATGTCCATGTTCTTCTTCATCACCATGTTCTTCTTCATGTCCTTCTTCGTGACCATGCTCTTCTTCATGTCCATGTTCTTCTTCATGTCCATGTTCTTCTTCATGTCCATGTTCTTCTTCATGACTTATATCTTCATGATCATGTTCTTCTTCATGTCCATGTTCTTCTTCATTTCCATGTTCTTCTTCATGTCCATGCTCTTCTTCATATCCATGTTCTTCTTCATCACCATGTTCTTCTTCATCACCATGTTCTTCTTCATGTCCATGTTCTTCTTCATGTCCATGTTCTTCTTCATCACCATGTTCTACTTCATGTTCTTCTTCATGACCATGTTTTTCTTCATGTCCATGTTCTTCTTCATGTCCATGTTCTTCTTCATGACCATGTTCTTCTTCTTGTCCATGTTCTTCTTCATGACCATGTTCTTCTTCATGCCCATGTTCTTCTTCATGACCATGTTCTTCTTCATGACCATGTTCTTCTTCATGTCCATGTTCTTCTTCATCTCCATGTTCTTCATGTCCATGTTCTTCTTCATGACCATGTTCTTCTTCATGACCATGTTCTTCTTCATGTCCATGTTCTTCTTCATCGCTTATATCTTCATGATCATGTTCTTCTTCATGTCCATGTTCTTCTTCATGTCCATGCTCTTCTTCATGTCCATGTTCTTTTTGATCACCTTGTTCTTCTTCATGACCATGTTCTTCTTCATGTCCATGTTCTTCTTCATGTCCATGTTCTTCTTCATGTCCATGTTCTTCTTCATGTCCATGTTCTTCTTCATCACCATGTTCTTCTTCATGTTCTTCTTCGTGACCATGCTCTTCTTCATGTCCATGTTCTTCTTCATGTCCATGTTCTTCTTCATGTCCATGTTCTTCTTCATGACTTATATCTTCATGATCATGTTCTTCTTCATGTCCATGTTCTTCTTCATTTCCATGTTCTTCTTCATGTCCATGCTCTTCTTCATATCCATGTTCTTCTTCATCACCATGTTCTTCTTCATCACCATGTTCTTCTTCATGTCCATGTTCTTCTTCATGTCCATGTTCTTCTTCATCACCATGTTCTACTTCATGTTCTTCTTCATGACCATGTTTTTCTTCATGTCCATGTTCTTCTTCATGTCCATGTTCTTCTTCATGACCATGTTCTTCTTCTTGTCCATGTTCTTCTTCATGACCATGTTCTTCTTCATGCCCATGTTCTTCTTCATGACCATGTTCTTCTTCATGACCATGTTCTTCTTCATGTCCATGTTCTTCTTCATCTCCATGTTCTTCATGTCCATGTTCTTCTTCATGACCATGTTCTTCTTCATGACCATGTTCTTCTTCATGTCCATGTTCTTCTTCATCGCTTATATCTTCATGATCATGTTCTTCTTCATGTCCATGTTCTTCTTCATGTCCATGCTCTTCTTCATGTCCATGTTCTTTTTCATCACCTTGTTCTTCTTCATGTCCATGTTCTTCTTCAGGTCCATGTTCTTCTTCATGTCCATGTTCTTCTTCATCACCATGTCCTTCTTCATGTTCTTCTTCGTGACCATGCTCTTCTTCATGTCCATGTTCTTCTTCATGTCCATGTTCTTTTTCATTTCCATGTTCTTCTTCGTGTCCATGCTCTTCTTCATATCCATGTTCTTCTTCATCACCATGTCCTTCTTCATTACCATGTTCATCTTCATGTCCATGTTCTACTTCATGTCCATGTTCTTCTTCATCACCATGTTCTTCTTCATGTTCTTCTTCATGACCATGTTTTTCTTCATGTCCATGTTCTTCTTCATGTCCATGTTCTTCTTCATGACTTATATCTTCATGATCATGTTCTTCTTCATGTTCTTCTTCATTTACATGTTCTTCTTCATGTCCATGCTCTTCTTCATGTCCATGTTCTTCTTCATGGCCCTGTTCTTCTTCATCACCATGTTCTTCTTCATGACCATGTTCTTCTTCATGACTTATATCTTCATGATCATGTTCTTCTTCATGTCCATGTTCTTTTTCATGACCATGTTCTTCTTCATGACTTATATCTTCATGATCGTGTTCTTCTTCATGTTCTTCTTCATTTCCATGTTCTTCTTCATGTCCATGCTCTTCTTCATGCCCATGTTCTTCTTCATCTCCATGTTCTTCTTCATGTTTTTCTTCATGACCATGTTCTTCTTCATGCCCTTGTTCTTCTTCATGTCCATGTTCTTCTTCATGTCCATGTTCTTCTTCATGTCCATGTTCTTCTTCATTTCCATGTTCTTCTTTATGGCTTTTATCTTCATGATCATGTTCTTCTTCATGTCCATGCTCTTCTTCATGTCCATGTTCTTCTTCATGTTCCTCTTCATGTCCATGGTCTTCTTCATGTCCATGTTCTTGTTCATGACCATGTTCTTCTTGATCACCATGTTCTTCTTCATGACCATGTTCTTCTTCATGTCCTTGCTCATCTTCATGTCCATGTTCTTCTTCATCGCTTATATCTTCATGATCATGTTCTTCTTCATGACCATGTTCTTCTTCATGTCCATGCTCTTCATCATGTCCATGTTCTTTTTCATCACCTTGTTCTTCTTCATGACCATGTTCTTCTTCATGTCCATGTTCTTCTTCATGTCCATGTTCTTCTTCATGTCCATGTTCTTCTTCATGTTCTTCTTCATGTCCATGTTCTTCTTCATGTCCATGTTCTTCTTCATGTTCTTCTTCATGTCCATGTTCTTCTTCATGTCCATGTTCTTCTTCATGACTTATATCTTCATGATCATGGTCTTCTTCATGTCCATGTTCTCCTTCATTTCCATTTTCTTCTTCATGTCCATGCTCTTCTTCATGTCCATGTTCTTCTTCATCAACATTTTCTTCTTCATCACCATGTTCTTCTTCATGTCCATGTTCTTCTTCATGTCCATGTTCTTCTTCATCACCATGTTCTTGTTCATGTTCTTCTTCATGACCATGTTTTTCTTCATGTCCATGTTCTTCTTCATGTCCATGTTCTTTTTCATGACTTATATCTTCATGATCATGTTCTTCTTCATGTTCTTCTTCATTTCCATGTTCTTCTTCATGTTCATGTTCTTCTTCATCACCATGTTCTTCTTCATGGCCATGTTCTTCTTCATGTCCATGTTCTTCTTCATGTCCATGTTCTTCTTTATGACCATCTTCTTCTTTATGACCATGTTCTTCTTCATGTCCATGTTCTTCTTCATCACCATGTTCTTCTTCATGACTTTTATCTTCATGATCATGTTCTTCTTCATGTCCATGTTCTTCTTCATGACCATGCTCTTCTTCATGTCCATGTTCTCCTTCATCACCATGTTCTTCTTCATCACCATGTTCTTCTTCATGACCATGTTCTTCTTCATGCCCATGTTCTTCTTCATGTCCATGTTCTTCTTCATGTCCATGTTCTTCTTCATCACCATGTTCTTCTTCATGACCATGTTCTTCTTCATGATTTATATCTGCATGATCATGTTCTTCTTCATGTCCATGCTCTTCTTCATCACCATGTTTTTCTTCATGTCCATCTTCTTCTTCGTGTCCATGTTCTTCCTCGTGTTCATGTTCTTCTTCATGACCATGTTCTTCTTCATGACCATGTTCTTCTTCATGCCCATGTTCTTCTTCATGACCTTGTTCTTCTTCATGTCCATGTTCTTCTTCATGGCTTATATCTTCATGATCATGTTGTTCTTCATGTCCATGTTCTTTTTCATCACCTTGTTCTTCTTCATGACCATGTTCTTCTTCATGTCCATGTTCTTCTTCATGTCCATGTTCTTCTTCATTACCATGTTCTTCTTCATGTTCTTCTTCATGACCATGCTCTTCTTCATGTCCATGTTCTTCTTCATGTCCATGCTCTTCTTCATGTCCATGTTCTTCTTCATCACCATGTTCTTCTTCATCACCATGTTCTTTTTCATGACCATGTTCTTCTTCATGACCATGTTCTTCTTCATGTCCATGTTCTTCTTCATCACCATGTTCTTCTTCATCACCATGTTCTTCTTCATGACTTATATCTTCATGATCATGTTTTTCTTCATGTCCATTCTCTTCTTCATCACCATGTTTTTCTTCATTTTCATGTTCTTCTTCATGTCCATGTTCTTCTTCATGTCCATGTTCTTCTTCATGTCCATGTTCTTCTTCATGACCATGTTCTTCTTCATGACCATGTTCTTCTTCATGACCATGTTCTTCTTCATGGCCATGTTCTTCTTCATGTCCATGTTCTTCTTCATCACCATGTTCTTCTTCATGACCATGTTCTTCGTCATGTCCATGTTCTTCTTCATGGCCATGTTCTTCTTCATGACCATGTTCTTCTTCATGATCATTTTCTTCTTCATGACCATGTTCTTCTTCATTTCCATGCTCTTCTTCATGACCATGTTCCTCTTCATGACCATGTTCTTCTTCATCACCATGTTCTTCTTCATGTCCATGTTCTTCTTCATGTCCATGTTCTTCTTCATGTCCATGTTCTTCTCCATGCCCATGCTCTTCTACATGTCCATTCTCTGCTTCATGGCTTATATCTTCGTGATCATGTTCTTCTTCATGTCCATGTTCTTCTTCATGCCCATGTTCTTCTTCATGTTCAAGATCTTCTTCATGTCCATGTTCTTCTTTATCACCAGATTCTTCTTCATGTCCATGTTCTTCTTCATGTCCATGTTCTTTTTCATGTCCATGTTCTTCTTCATGTCCATGTTCTTTTTCATGTCCATGTTCTTCTTCATGTCCATGCTCTTCTTCATGACCATGTTCTTCTTGATGTCCATGTACTTCTTCATGATCATGTTCTTCTTCATGTCCATGTTCTTCTTCATTACCATGTTCTTCTTCATGTCCTTTTTCTCCGTCATGTCCATGTTCTTCTTCATGACCATGTTCTTCTTCATGCCCATGTTCTTCTTCATGACCATGTTCTTCTTCATGTCCATGTTCTTCTTCATGCCCATGTTCTTCTTCATGTCCATGTTCTTCTTCATGTCCATGTTCTTCTTTATGTTCATGCTCTTCTTCATGGCTGTTATCTTCATGATCATTTTCTTTTTCATGGCCATGTTCTTCATCATGTCCATGTTCATCTTCACGATCATGTTCTTCTTCATGTCCATGGTCTTCTTCATGACCATGTTCTTCTTCATGACTATGTTCTACTTCATGTCCATGTTCTTCTTCATGTCCATGTTCTTCTTCATGTCCATGTTCTTCTTCATGGCTTATATCTTCATGATCATGTTCTTCTCCGTGTCCTTGTTCTTCTTCATGTCCTTTTTCTCCTTCATGCCCATGTTCTTCTTCATGTCCTTTTTCTCCTTCATGTCCATCTTCTTCTTGATGTCCATGTTCCTCTTCATGTCCATGTTCTTCTTCATGCCCATGTTCTTCTTCATGTCCATTTTTCTCCTCATGTCCATGCTCTTCTTCATGACCATGTTCTTCTTCATGTCCATGTTCTTCTTCATCACCATGTTCTTCTTCATGTCCATGTTCTTCTCCATATCCATGTTTTTCTTCATGTCCATGCTCTTCTTCATGTCCATGCTCTTCTTCATGTCCATGCTCTTCTTCATGGCTTATATCTTCATGATCATTTTCTTTTTCATTGCCATGTTCTTCTTTATGTCCATGTTCATATTCGTGACCATGTTCTTCTTCATGACCATGTTCTTCTTTATGTCCATGTTCTTCATGTCCATGTTCTTCTTCATGTCCATGTTCTTCTTCATGTCCATGTTTTTCCTCATGTCCATTTTCTTCTTCATGTCCATGTTCTTCTTCATGGCTTATATCTTCATTATCATGTTCTCCTTCATGTCCATGTTCTTCTTCGTGTCCTTTTTCTCCTTCATGTCCATGTTCTTCTTCATGTCCATGTTCTTCTTGATGTCCATGTTCCTCTTCATGTCCATGTTCTTCTTGATGTCCATGTTCCTCTTCATGCCCATGTTCTTCTTTATGTCCATGTTCCTCCTCATGTCCATGTTCTTCTTTATGTCCATATTTGTCTTTGTGGCCATGCACATCGTCGTGCCCACCTTCTTTCCCATGGACACTGGTTTTATCCTTTGACTCCTTTAGATCAGCTTTAGATGTTCCTTTCGTGTTCTTGAATACCACATAATCCATACCCTCCTTGGCGTGTTCTTCTTTCCTACTGCCAACTTGGCTTTTTTTTGTTTTTTCCTCCCTACTTACTTCTTTCGTCGGTATCTTTTCGTCTTTTATTTGTTCATGAGTAGCACCATGTCCTGATTTTTTAATGTCAGTTATTTTCTCATTTCCATTCAGTCGTGGCTTCAAGGCGACATGATCTTTCTCCAGATCATGTTGTCTCACATCTGACAGTTTCATCCTTTCCGCTGCAGGTGCACGTTGAACGACCGTAGCTCTGCTTGCTTTGTTTGCCTTGTCCTCCTTCTCACCTCCGGTTTTCGTCGGCTTTTTGTCATCACTCGACTGGGAAGGGGTTAACTTAATATCAGCTGTTTGAGAATCGCCTCGTCCTGCTTTAAACTCACCACGATAAGTGTTGTATTTCTGACCGCTACCAAACCTGGCTGGAGTCTGCTCGTGGTGTGAATTCGCTTGGTACTGGCTGTTCGCTTTGTACTGCGCAGCCCCGTGACTCACTTTTTCTTTTTCCCCTGAAGCGTCTCCTTCAATGTCCGAACTCGTAACTATCTTGTCCGTTATAGCTCGAAGTACTTTTAAATCTCTTAAGACCAGCTCAGGGTGGGCGATTTCTTGATCTATTGCGTTTTCTTGATATTTCGATTTAAAATTCTGAGTTTCTCTTTTTAATCTCTGGTGTCCTTGGCTTTCGTGATTTTGTCCCGTTGCGTTTTTCTCCGAGGAAGAGAACGCGTTCGAATCTTCTTCTTTATCGCTGTCATGTTTTGGTCTTACGCTGTGAGCCCTAGACACCATGTTTCCTGTATTGTCTGAAAAAACGGCCTTTTCAGCAAGTGTTCCATTTGTAAGGACTGTACTACTTGTGTTTGAATCTAAAAGACTGTCGTTGGACATCTTTGTTAAGTTGTGTGCGGCCGGCGATCTGACATAATCTATGTCGACACTGCGCTCGTGAATAGTCCGACCTGGTGGATTATCTTCGAGCGTGCTTATTTCAGTCTTCGTGTCTTTTCGCGTAAGTAAGCTCCACAAAAGTCCTTTCTGAAGCTTAGCCCCCAGACGGTCGTACCAGGGCAGAGCTGCCAGTGTGTTATCTTTAATAGAAATGTTCTCTTCTTCTGACGGGGGAGCCCCTTGGCCATTCTCTTCAGCCTCCAAGGGAGCCCTTTGTTGACTCTCTCCAGCCTCCGCCTTTAAGACCAGATTGTCATTGCCACTCGCGTCGCTTTTCCACCGGCCGGGGTTCGGGAACTTGACGTGGATCGGGTTCTCCACAGAGACGGCGTGCTCGGGATCCGTCGACCATTTCCACAACATTGAGGATGGCTTGACGTCATTAGAATCTGCGTCTGCCTGATGATGATGATGGTGATGATGATGCGTCTCTTCGTTTACAAACGAGTACTGGGGCTCGCCGTGGCTACCACCCTCGGCAACTTCAGCGGCCGGACTGTGAAAGAACAGTGGAATGTGTTTGATGAACCACCACATCGGCTCGTTGGTTGTCGTTTCTTTGTCTGACGTGGCTGCTGACGATGAGGTCGCAGGGACTGCCGTGGTTGAGGTGCTGTCTTTAGAACTGCCTGTGTTCGTTTGATTCTCCTTCGCTCCATGCACAGGTTTCGTGCTATTATTTTTCTTATGGGACGCTTCTTCCTCAGCCCTCGGCTTGCCGCTGGATGTTTTAGGCCGCTTCGTTGTCTTGGGACGAGATTCTTTTCTGCCCTCAACGATGACATCGGCGCATGCGTAGAACTGCTCCTGCTCGCCACACCCGATACAAGATGTTCCGTCAGGATCAGTGCCCCAACTATTGGCTGCAGACAAAGTAAGACTGAATGTTACCTTTAAATATTATTTGTTATGAAGTAGTTATTAAACGGAATTATCAAGTAGTACTAGCCAAATATATCAAAACAAATACTGGTATGGCGACCTCGAGAATCAAACGGACTGGGAAGGCCAAAAAACATTTGACGATAGATGTGGACAGTTGTGCATAAAGGTAGGAAAGTGTTGGAGATCGTGACTGAAGATAGAATAGGACCAGAGGGCTTGGGGGAGTCATTCTTAATGACCTTCACTGCACCGGGAGTTTAAAAAACGAAAGAAATAAAAAAAGGGGGAAAAGTTCAAAGAGATAAATTGCTAGATTTCCTCATCATTTAGGGAATACTTCAACATCATGGTTGTTGACAACAGCAAATGTTTTGGTAAATAAGAAATAATCCTGTAAAGAAACAGTACCAGGAAAAAAAAAATATTCCTGCATTTAAAAACATCCTAAAATCTAAAAGAATACTCATTTTGTTTGAGTAGACCTCTAAATGGTGCGTTCAAAAAGAATTCGACGAAAAATTGATGTAGTGAACTGAATGTTAAGTAAAGAAAGATGTTGCTTTATTATGTGATAAAGACATTCAAATATCGGTAGAAAAAAACAACAACTATTTTTCATTAATGTTTGGAGCGAAAAGCAATCAACAATGGATCAGAATAACACTCAGTTGCTATTTGATCATTGCCGATTTACAACACTAACCTTCATTACTCACCATTGGCGTGGCAATGGGGGGATACGGAGGTAGTTTCGCCCACCACCCCCCCCCCTTTCCGGCTTGTCTCTAAATGGGGTGAAGGTGGTATTTTTGTCAACTTCAAGAGTTTTTTGTGTGGTGGCGGCGGCAAATAACTTGTCCCGCCCCGCACAGCACTAATCCTAGCTACGCCATTGTTACCCACAGAAGACGTTGGCATCAGTTTAGCTCATTCTATTTCAACTCACTGACGACAATGAGTTAAGCTCACCCTACAACGCTACGCTCAACGTGATCCTGTACTCGTTATACACGTACGATAATCTATTCGGGGGAGGACCCTTGTCTTTGTAAAGCGTGTCGTTGCGTCTACACACAAGCAGTCAACGTTTCCGTACGTACCAACATTCCACTTCCACTGGAACAAGCATTTCTTGCAGGAGATGTCCTTCGGCAGACGAACTTTGACCTCGTACTCGCCGGAAGCGTAGGGCTCTGGGAGCTCGTATCTGGGGACGTGCGGAAAACAATGTGATAGTGTGGCAGACAATGTGATAGTGTGGCAGACAATGTGATAGTGTGGCAGACAATGTAATAGTGTGGCAGACAATGTGATAGTGTGGCAGAAAATGTGATAGTGTGGGAGACAGTGTGATAGTGTGGCAGACAATGTGATAGTGTGGCAGACAGTGTGATTGTGTGGTAGACAATGTGATAGTGTGGCAGACAATGTGATAGTGTGGCAGACAATGTGATAGTGTGGCAGACAGTGTGATAGTGTGGCAGACAATGTGATAGTGTGGCAGACAGTGTGATTGTGTGGCAGACAATGTGATAGTGTGGCAGACAATGAGATAGTGTGGCAGACAATGTGATAACGTGGGAGATAATGTGATAGTGCAGGAGACAATCTGATAATGTGGGAGACAATGGGATAGTGTGGAAGACAATGGGATAAATGGGAAACAATGTGATAGTGTGAAATATAATGTGATAGTATGGGAAACAATGTGATCGTGTGGAAAACAAGTGATAGTGTTAAAAAACGTATGAGAGCGTTGAAAGCAAATTGATAATGTGGCAAATAATGTGATAGTGTAAAACCTGTGATAGTGTGGAAAAGAATGTGATAGTGTGGAAAAGAATTTGATAGTGTGGAAATAAATTGATAGTGTGGAGAAGAATGTGACAGTGTGGAAAATAATGTGATAGTGTGGAAAACATTGTGACAGTGTGGAAGACAATATGCTAGTGTAGAAAACTGTTTAATAGTTTAGAAAACAATGTGATAGTATGGGAGACAATGTGATAGTGTGGGAGACAATGTGATAGTGTGGGAGACAATGTGATAGTGTGGGAGACAATGTGACGGTGTGGGAGACAATGTGACAGTGTGGGAGACAATGTGACGGTGTGGGAGACAATGTGACGGTGTGGGAGACAATGTGATAGTGTGGGAGACAATGTGATAGTGTGGGAGACAATGTGACAGTGTGGGAGACAATGTGACGGTGTGGGAGACAATGTGATAGTGTGGGAGACAATGTGATAGTGTGGGAGACAATGTGATAGTGTGGGAGACAAGGTGCTAGAGTGGAAATCATGTGAGGGTGTGGAAAACAATGCGATGGTGTTGAAAAGATGTAGATTTAAATAGGACAAGTAGAATTTAATTGCCTGATGTAATGGTGCACCATCGAAACTAACAAAATGATTTGTCGTCAATACATATCACACGATTCATTTTTGATGAGCTGAACTTTCCCCACACTCTAAAGTACGGATAGATCTCAATGATTGTGTGACTTTTGCAATGTTACTACACGAATTGATCTAAACAAATGTGTGACTTTTGAAATGTGATTGTATGAATAGATGTAACCAAATTTGTGAGCCAGGCAATATAACATTACTGATAGATCAAACTAAATGTGTGAATTCTGCAATGTTACTATACAGATAGATCTAACTAAATGTGAGACGTTTTCAATGTGACTGAAGAGATAGATCTAACCAAATGTGTGACTTTTGTAATGTGATACTAATGGTAGATCTAACTAAGTGTGTGACATATGAAATGTGACTGTACGAACAGACCCAACCAAATGTGTGACTATTGGCAATGTGACTGTGCAATTAAAGTTTAACAAATGTGTGCCTTTTGCAATTTGAATGTACCGACAGATCGAACCAAATGTGTGAACTTTTCCAATGCGACTTTTCGAATAGATTCCAAGAAATTGGTGACTCTTGCAACGTGACTGTCCGGACAGATCGAACGAAATGTCTGACTCTAGCACTGCACCATACGTTGACCTACTGACCTGGTTTCACCATCTTCAAGGCGAAGGACGTGTTTGTTGAGACACTCCTGGGTGACCTCGACGAAATCACCACCCGAGTCGTATTCGATGTCGCCCTCTTTAGGCTTGTCGTAAGGGCAAAGCCTGAACTCGATCAAGCCCCTGTACAAAAAAAAAAATTGAATTACTTGATTACGATAAAATATCAAGTGCGTTTACTCGAATGTCTCTTACATACAAAATGTCTCTTACCTATCGAAAATAAAAGGGTAGTTGATTATTATTCGTCCTTATTATCACATGATTTTATTATGAACATTTTTATTACTCTATTTAGTATGTGCACCGGATGTCATGAACTAAACTTTGTGACGAAATGGTTGAGATGAGATACGAAATAAGAGGTGACATAAGAGTTGACGTAATAGGTGACGTAAGATACGTCACAAAAGGAGACTTAAGAGGGGACAGCTTTGCATCAGTTAAAAAAAAAACTTAACTAATTTCGTATTTATTTTTTCTTTTCTTCTAATACATTTGTATTTGTTTGTAATCCTTTGTAGTGACTTCGCTCTTGGTCGTGTGTAGCTTTCTTTCTGTTTGGGTGTGTGGCAAAAATCTTAGGACGGCTAATTTACCCACTTTCCGTCAACCTATCGAGCTGAAACCTAGGCATATAGACTCGATGCCGCTGACAACACATTCCATCAAATTTTCAGCCCCACTCCCCACTCCCCAACAATCAATTTCTCCTGTTTTTCAAGGGGAACGATAAGGACAAATGATGACCACTGATTTCACCAACTAAAATTTGAGATAACTCTGCTAAGTTAGATGTTGTAAAAAAAAAATAATAAAAAAATCGCCAGTGTGTTTAATGCTTGATATTTTCAATGGTTTTCTCCCCTGAAACGGTTCTATAATTCTGCGTTGTCAAAGTTGGAGGGTCATTATAATATTAATGTACAATAAATTATTATTTTTTTTTTTAAATGCATATGAAATATTTTTACAGAAAACATAGTTTTTAGTTGTTTTTTTTTTGTTTTTTTTTTAAATTTGTTATTGACAAAGTCATTTACGGTTATACATCGAAGGAATGACAGTTGATTCACATCATTATAATATTAATGTATAATAAATTATTATTTTTTTTTTTAAATGCATATGAAATATTTTTACAGAAAACATAGTTTTTAGTTGTTTTTTTTTTGTTTTTTTTTTAAATTTGTTATTGACAAAGTCATATACGGTTATACATCGAAGGAATGACAGTTGATTCACCTGTGGTTGGCTGTGATGCCAAACTTGACAGTTATCAGTTCTCCCGCCCTGTAAGTCCTGGTGGGCTCCCCGCCGTAGAAGGCTCCACCCCTCTCGTGGGCGCGCGGTGTGGGTGAGTAGGGGTCACCACAGACACCACATTTTCCACCGAACTGGTTCCACAAGGCCTGCCAGACGAGATGGGCGCACGCATGTAGGTACACATTAGAATTTACATATTGGAATATACGAATTTTAGTACATATTAGAATGTACACAAGGCTGCGTTCTCTCTCATGTACTGTATACAATATATACAAATGATATTCAAAGCTCAAGCGACACCGTTTCAATCTTAAAATTTGCTGATGATACCACCATTGTTGGCTTAATATCTGAATTAGAAGGCCTATACCGCAACTTAGTTACAAGCTGTATCAATTGGTGCGATGAAAATTTTCTCCAGTTGAATGTCTCAAAAACAAAAGAAATGGTTGTTGGTTTCAGAAGGGGGAGACACCAGATTGCAGATCTCAACATTAAAAATCAAAATGTGGAGAAAGTGGAGGAATACAAGTACTTAGGTGTCACCATTAATAATAAGCTAATTAATGAAATAGTGAAACGAGGTATGTGGAAGCTTGAAATAAGCTAACAGGACAAAAAAAAAGGACGTTTCGGCATAAAGCCTTCCTCAGCCAACAATAGAAATGAAAATATAACAAAGAAAAGAACACAGTAGACAACTCAAGCAGTATTCATTCGTGTCACCGGAAGTGGGAAAACAGGAAGCGAGAGAATATAAATATTGACACTGTGAAAAATAAAGTCCACAATAATAATGGACCAGAATATCCAGGGATACATCAACAAACAGCAATAAGAAAATAGATGAAATATAAGGAAACGGAGAAACATCAGTAGGATATTATTTGATTAATAACATGTGGAGATATGGTGCCAAACAGCTGAATAAATTTATTTTCCATTATAACCCTATCTGGTGTGTTACTGCATGAAATCAATGCCTAATGGTTACATCCAAAGCACCTTTATTTTCTTTTTGGTTGAAATGAGAAGAGACCGGGGAAGGTTTACATTGCTCAATATCCCTTAATAATAAGCTAACATGGCATGAGTACAGCCAAATCCTGTATAAGAAATTCAACCAAAGACTGTTCTACCTCAAAAAACTGTACAATTTTGGCGTAAAGAAGCAAGTCTTTAACTTATTCTACAGTGCAACTAGTGGAAGCCTGCTTAATTTCAGTATTACCTGTTGGTGTTGGAATTCAACGTCTGATATTTAACACCGACTAATCAAGAAAGCTAGGAACATAACACAAACTAAACATCCTTCACTTTAAGAACTATTTGAATAAAGATGTTTTTTTTAAAAACTAAACACATTTTAGATGATACATCCCAACATCTTCATTACAAGTACTTAGGATCTGGCCGTTCGGGACAAATTCTTTCCATCAGGGCGAGGACTGACCAATTTAAAAATCCTTTTTGTTCCCCAATCTGTACGAATTTACCCGCGTGCTTCCTCTGAAGTCACACATCTGAATGAGAACTAAAAAGAGGGGGGTTGTGACACTTTGTGACAGTGCGGAGAGAATGTCAACAATTTGTGACGGCAAATTATTTAAAATTTATTTTAAAAAAAAAAAAAAATATATAAAAAAATTAACATACATTTATAATTTTGAAAAATATTCAAATAATTTTAAAAAATCTTTTGCGTAATTAATGTTGTGGACATGTTACATTTGGCGTGGGGATTACTTCGTTGCTGCGTGTCACAGATTTTTAATTACACTACATCTTAATCCATTATCAGTATGGGAAAACATTAAAGAATAAAATAACTTCTTAGTTCAGTTATAAAATTTTAAACGATAATTTGATTCTTTTAAGTGTGACATGACACTAGGGGGGGGGGGGGGGATATAATTTGTGAGGGGGGGAAGGGGGGTATAAAAATGAAATTTTTGCGAGACGTAACTTGCGAGCGACCCCCTAAAATGTACACATTATGTATTAGGTTAAGCGGCCATTAAATTATTATGACGATAAATTTGGCAGCAACATGATTTAAATATTTTCTGTAATGTATGGACTTGCAATCAGCTGATGGAATAATAAAAGAAGATCAGCACCGATACAATGATAATAGCGATTCTAATTTATTTTTTATTTTTTTTTAAACAGGAAAAAAAATTAAGCGCATTGATACTTCAATGTGAATGTTCACTGTCGGGCTGTCGGGCTGTCGGGCACATGCGATTTTAAGACGATGGGTTTAATTTCTTAGTAAGAAAATGTTTCTATGAGCTTTTAAGAAGTTTTTTTTTTTTTTTTTGGCCATGAATTTACATTCTTGATAACTGATGTTTACTCTAGAGAAGATGTCATTTCATGTAATTTTAGAACCACTTACATCCGCCAGATTTGTCTGAGCACATGAACTAAAATGTTTTTATGAGCTTTTAAGAAGTTTTTTTTTTTTTTTTGGCCATGAATTTACATTCTTGATAACTGATGTTTACTCTAGAGAAGATGTCATTTCATGTAATTTTAGAACCACTGACATCCGCCAGATTTGTCTGAGCACATGAACTTTTGCCGAATTGTTATTCTAATTATTATTTTTGGTGGGGTTGGGAGGTGGAGCTGGTTTGGGGGGGGGGTGTGCAGGGAATGAATGTTCTATGTTCTAACAAGGCTAGATGCAATCCTAGTCATCATTGTGGATATCCTTTAACAAGGTGATCCATCAATGGGTTATATCTGAAATCTTTGTTTTGGTCTTGTACCAGGCCCCGTCTTTAATGTTAGCCAACTTTACTGATCATTAAATTAGTAAGACATGCTCTTGTCAAGGCACTAGTCTCAAGTTTTAGAATGTCACATCTCTCTTTGATGACCACATTAATAAGACATGCTCTTGTCAAGACATGAGACACAAGTCTTAGAATGCCATGTCACTCTTTGAAAAACTTGATTCACTATTTTTTTTTCTTTGGTAATTACCTTGGTTGTTTGTTTGCTGGTTTAAGGTAATTTTTGTGATATAATTACCACAGCTATCATTATTATGACAATTGCCTCGCAGGACACTGCCAATTTGACAGGTATTTGTGTATTTTGTTTACACCTGTCTAAAAATCTCCCCGTGGAGGAAACAGGCCTAAGTGTCATTCATTGCATCCTGTACAGCGAGCCATCAGCTAAACCACTTTATTTGCTTACAGCTTTTAGTTATTTGCTGATTTCTTTGAAAGCTCTAGAAATATTAAAACAACAACAACACACCGATCTGTATAGCTTATCAAAAAAAGAGCACACGAAATCCTCAGGCCGTCCTAAGATCGTAATTCATTTCACTAAGATCGTGCATGCATTTTAAATAGATTTTATAACATCAGGGCGCTTTGAGGACGCTGGAAGAACATGGGCACAAGAGCTTGCCAAGTATTCAGTCATCATCATATGCAGACAAGGAAACAAGAGTGGCATGCGACATCTTAAACTGCGGTTAATGGTATCGATGGACGCTGGTCAGCGTTGGGAAGTGAGCTTCTACACATCTGTGAGATAAACATGCATTCCACTAGTGCCAGTTACCTCAAGAGCTAATTGGACCAATCTGAATCAAAAAGTAGTGACCCGCTTATAAACTTAATTTCAATGACTTTTCACATTCATTTTTCCTTCAGATTATGAATTTTAAGAATACAAAGTTTTAGACTAATTTATTATGATGTGAATGACTCTGGGTCAATGGATTTGAACACAAAGTTAAGAAATTAAACATTTAAAAAAAAATAAAACGTTAACTACTAATAAGATACTCATCAACACACTTACAAAACAAACATTTATAACAGTGCTCAAATCAGCAGTCAAATTGTATCATTTATAACACAGCTAAAGTTAACAGTCAATTTACATCCTTTATAACAGAGCTAACGTTTACAGTCAGCTTACATCATTTATAACAGAGCTATAGTTAACCATCAACTTACTTTATTTATAACAGAGCTAAAGTTAACGGTCAATTTTCTTCATTTATAACATTAACTTAACATATCGGTCAATTTCATTCATTTATAACAGAGCTAAATTTGACAGTCAGCTTACATCATTATTACAGATCTGAAGTTACCAGTCAAATTACATCCTATAAACAGAAGAGCTAAAGTTAACGGTCCACTTACATCTTTGCCGCCACAGTATCCCTGGTGGTCATCGTAATCAGGTGGGGAGTCGAACCCCAACCTCCACATTGTAGCCCTAGACGGGGGGTCCAAGAGACGCCCATGTCCAAAACTAGGCGGGACCACCGCGAAAATCACAAACACGCCCAGGACGTGTGGGGTTATCTTCCCCATTCTTTCTCAGCCTTTCCCTTTCCGGAAGGTTCCAATCTTCTATACAACTATTGGAATCTCCTGTGAGTCGTCGATTGAGTTTAATCTACTGTCTCAACTTCTAAGGGTGTAGTTAGTCCCAGACAATGGGGTCGTTGGTTGAAAATAATTTTTACTTCAATGTGAGCTCAACATTCCAAATTTAAATCACAACACAGCCGTGGTTGGGGCTTCCAGGTTACTCTACAACAGCTAGACGACCACCTTGTACAAACTCCATATCTCTCCCTCTCACCCCTGACCTATCACAACTCCCCAAACAGCCAAGGATTAATGTTCGGACACAAGATGATTGACTTATATACTCTCTCACCTTACAATACAATTCATTTTATTTTATTTTTTTCATTTTTTTTTTTAAACAAAGATTCACATAGTGTTAAAAATAAACCCTCTATCACTGATAGGAAACAAAAATATGTACATTTTTTTTAGTGAATCAACAAAACGTGAATGTCGCCACATAGTTTAGTGAGTATTTTTAAATTTTGTCATCCCCAACAAAAAATAATAATTTTAATCTCATCCGTATATTGTCTTTTTTAAAAAGACAATATCTGTCAAAAAACAAACATGTCCAACAATGATTTTCCTTCCCTCCAGTCATTGTTTCTTAACCACGTCAATTGTCTCCCCATCTTGACTTGTCTTCCCCCGTATACAAAAATTGACCTTTACATTTCACGGGGCGAAACAGTGGGATAAGCTGATTAGTGCGACAGAAGATGCGCCGTTGGACTGGACTTCCGGCGAAATACGAATGTAGGTCACGGTTTCAACAACAAAGCCAAGGCCTTCACGCTGGGATTTTTAAAAAAAAATTTTTTTTGGTTTAGAACAAGAGTTCTCAATCTATTTGAAGTGCCACACCACCTTCTGATTTAAAAACAAATCCTTCCCCCCACATCTCGATTTCCCATTCATATTATATTTTCCTCAACCCACCCCCTCCCCAAGATTGAAAAAAAAGATATGCATAGAAATCCAGAGACACCTGATTAGTTTGGATCTTTCCCCCCCCCCCCCTGCGTGACACTGCCTCACGCATCCCCCCGGTGGGTGTTGACACCCTTAAATAAGAACCCCTGGGCTAGAGGTAGGCAAGGTGNCCTTACCCCAACCCCCCGGGGGGGGGGGGTGGGGAACGAATAACACGAACCGAAAAAAATTGTTACCGTGAAAAACATAGTGCGTACGACTGTGCGATAGCGAGTGTGTGTAAATAAGTGTGTGTCTAAATGCGTGTGTGTGTCTAAAGGCAAAGAAAGTTTGGTCGGCGGTAGGCCTTTATATAACAGGTCTTCACCTGGTGTATGTCGTCTTTCATGGCAGTCCATTAACTACTGATGGAATACAGAAATCAACTGATGGAGTTGTTTTCGATGCTACCAACGTTGATCGATGACATGGCCAGAGATATCATTCATTAACACAATCTTTGACACATGTTGTTCATTGAGTGTGCTCTAAGATCAGTCTGACTTTGTAAATACAGTAAACCACATTTGGACCTTGCTATTGACAAGAATGTAAGGATGGACTTTTGTCCCAGTGTTTCCAGTAGAATACTGTGGACTTTTGTCCCAGTGTTTCCAGTAGAATACTGTGGACTTTTGTCCCAGTGTTTCCAGTAGAATACTGTGGACTTTTGTCCCAGTGTTTCCAGTAGAATACTGTGGACTTTTGTCACAGTGTTTCCAGTAGACTACTGTGGACTTTTGTCCCAGTGTTTCCAGTAGAATACTGTGGACTTTTGTCCCAGTGTTTCCAGTAGAATACTGTGGACTTTTGTCCCAGTGTTTCCAGTAGAATACTGATTTTGGGATAGACGACCTCAACTATGTAAATGTAAATAAATAAAACACCTCATGTGTACACCGCCTCACTGTTTCAGTAGTGTTTATATTGTGCACCACATCACTATATCAGTAGTGTTTATATTGTGCACCACATCACTATCTTAGTAGTGTTTATATTGTGCACCACATCACTATCTTAGTAGTGTTTATATTGTGCACCACATCACTATCTCAGTAGTGTTTATATTGTGCACCACATCCCTATTTCAGTAGTGTTTATATTGTGCACCACATCACTATATCAGTAGTGTTTATATTGTGCACCACATCACTATCTTAGTAGTGTTTATATTGTGCACCACATCACTATCTTAGTAGTGTTTATATTGTGCACCACATCACTATCTCAGTAGTGTTTATATTGTGCACCACATCCCTATTTCAGTAGTGTTTATAAGTGTTTATATTGTGCACCACATCACTATCTCAGTAGTGTTTATATTGTGCACCACATCCCTATTTCAGTAGTGTTTATATTGTGCACCACATCACTATCTTAGTAGTGTTTATATTGTGCACCACACCACTATCTCAGTAGTGTTTATATTGTGCACCACATCCCTATTTCAGTAGTGTTTATATTGTGCACCACATCCCTATCTCAGTAGTGTTTATATTGTGCACCACATCCCTATCTCAGTAGTGTTTATATTGTGCACCACATCCCTATCTCAGTAGTGTTTATTTTGTGCACCACATCACTATCTCAGTAGTGTTTATATTGTGCACCACATCACTATCTCAGTAGTGTTTATATTGTGCACCACATCACTATCTCAGTAGTGTTTATATTGTGCACCACATCCCAATCTCAGTAGTGTTTATATTGTGCACCACATCACTATCTCAGTAGTGTTTATATTGTGCACCACATCACTATCTCAGTAGTGTTTATATTGTGCACCACATCACTATCTCAGTAGTGTTTATTTTGTGCACCACATCCCTATCTCAGTAGTGTTTATATTGTGCACCACATCCCTATCTCAGAAGTGTTTATTTTGTGCACCACATCACTATCTCAGTAGTGTTTATATTGTGCACCACATCACTATCTCAGAAGTGTTTATATTGTGCACCACATCACTATCTCAGTAGTGTTTATATTGTGCACCACATCCCAATCTCAGTAGTGTTTATATTGTGCACCACATCACTATCTTAATAGTGTTTATATTGTGCACCACATCCCTATCTTAGTAGTGTTTATTTTGTGCACCACATCCCTATCTCAGTAGTGTTTATATTGTGCACCACATCACTATCTTAGTAGTGTTTATATTGTGCACCACATCACTATCTTCGTAGTGTTTATATTGTGCACCACATCACTATCTCAGTAGCGTTTATATTGTACACCACATCACTATCTCAGTAGTGTTTATATTGTGCACCACATCACTATCTCAGTAGTGTTTATATTGTGCACCACATCCCTATCTTAGTAGTGTTTATATTGTGCACCACATCCCTATCTCAGTAGTGTTTATATTGTGCACCACATCCCTATCTCAGTAGTGTTTATATTGTGCACCACATCACTATCTCAGTAGTGTTTATATTGTGCACCACATCACTATCTCAGTAGTGTTTATATTGTGCACCACATCACTATCTCAGTAGTGTTTATATTGTGCACCACATCACTATCTTAGTAGTGTTTATATTGTGCACGACATCCCCATCTCAGTAGCGTTTATATTGTGCACCACATCCCTATCTCAGTAGTGTTTATATTGTGCACCACATCACTATCTCAGTAGTGTTTATATTGTGCACCACATCCCTATCTCAGTAGAGTTTATATTGTGCACCACATCCCTATCTCAGTAGTGTTTATATTGTGCACCAAATCCCTATATCAGTAGTGTTTATATTGTGCACCACATCACTATCTCAGTAGTGTTTATATTGTGCACCACATCACTATCTCAGTCGTGTTTATGGTGTGCACCGGCTAATGCTTTTATCAGTGTTTATAGTGTGCACTGGCTCACTTTTTTAGTAGTGATTATGGTGTGCACCGCATCACTGTTTTAACAATCTGTATAGTGTGCACCGCCTTACTGTTTTGGCAGTAGATTATCAAACAAATCACTGAGCAATGCTTGCTATAGACTGCTGAAAAAGGAGACTATATTCTCCCGTCATGCAGACACATTTGACTCATCTTCACATTGAGGAGACTCACCTTTAGCTTTATCAACAAGTAAGCATCATGTGGCGTGAGATCAGGGGGCTGAGACGGATATGGGAAGTTGTAGCATGTGAAATGATGCACGACATGACCCACTCAAATCCTAAAAGGATGGTTCGATGACCTTGCCCTTGGAGCTTCCCTGGGGGACGGTTAGCTTGTTCTCTTCCTCATCCGCGATGGAATAGGGGGCCTAAATATACTATACCATGTGCTGGAAGAGATTTGAAAAAAAACAAAACATTGTCACAGGCCCACTCACTGTATGAGCAGTTTCAGGACAGTACCATCTGGCCGCTCAAAACCAAGGAAGCGAGTTGTCTGGCGATTGCTGCGCCCATCTACTTCAATTGGACTTTCTTCGAAGAACCAGGAGAAAAAAAGCATTCCTGAAGAAATATGAATCCTCATACAACATGGCTAACAATTCTACACAACACACGCGTTGTACAACAAGTAGCCGGTACGAAAATCCTCCTGCGTACATCGACAAACAGAGAAGGGACCCATCGTTGATGTTCAGTTTATAAGATGCTCGCCTTAAAATTCCTAGAGGCGAATGTAGAATCTGCTACAGGACGGACGTGAAATTCTCGTTCGTACTGGTGCTTCTCTCCAGGGATACAAATCCGTTATTTATGTTCCTTGCGCTTTCATTGTAACTGTCCTTAATGGTTTCGTATTTAGTAGTTTATATCACTTATCCGACGTCGTGCCACACAAAGGAACCCCTTGTTGCTGCACACCTCACCTGATTTTTAATTTTTTTTTTAAGATACTGGATTTTCTTTTTATGGAATCCTTTGCTGAAAAAGAAAAGCTTGTTCAAAAAAAATATTAGAGAAAAAAAAACAAAAAAACAACAAAACAAAAAACCAACAAGATAATAAAACGTTCAAATGTACATGATGTCATTTTTTTTTTAAAATGTCGTAATCATGTTTTGAACAATTCCTCCAGGAAATCAAGCGTGTCAACACATTGAAATGTTTAGAGTAACCATTTATATTATTTTTTATCAACCATACATTTCCCATAAATGGTTACGACACTATTCTCAAGTCTCAGATAACACCTTCAATGTCACCCACACACTGACATTCCCAACCCACATACACTCACGCACACACCCACACACACACATTTCAAGAGGATGAACGCACAAAAATGGGATGGGGATCCTTGATGTAAATTAATTAAAGAATTAATCAAAATA